CTTTAACTATCTCAGCCTCCTACACTCTGGCTGGCCTCTTGCTTTTCAACTTAGTCTTGTCACCCTCTGTTTGTTTCTCTGTTTGTTGTTATGTCCTTCCCCCTGCCCCGCCCCCCTCACCACCACCCCCATATCAGAATGTAAGCTCCATGTAGGCAGGGACATTTTTATCTGTTTAATTTATGGCACCTAGAATCCTAGCACCTAGAACACCCAACACCACTAGGTGCTCAGTAAATGCTTGCTGAATAAATGAATGTATTATCAATAGAATCTTTCCAGCTGCAAGATGCCATCTTGTCCACTCCCAGATTTGGATTCCACTAAGTCTAGGTCTTGGCCCTCCTGGAAGAAGCACAACATTGCAGCCTCTTCTCAGAAGTGAGGTTGGATTTCTCTGACCTTGGTACTGTTTCTGTGTGCTTCTCTCTCTGTCCTCCTCTCTCATTTTACAATACCTACCTACCCACCCACCCACCAGCCTAAGGAGTCCTGAGAGCATCATGGTCATGAACTGGGCTGCTAACCGAAAGGTCATCAGTCCCAAACCACACTACTCCTATAAAGAGTTTGTCTTGGAAACCCACACGGGCAGTTCAACCCTGCCCTATAGGGGCAATATGAGTCAGCATGGAATCGATGGCAGTGAGTGGCCTACCGGCCTATCCACCTACTCTTTCGGTTATGTGAATCAAACCCAACTTGAATTAGCTTTTGTAAATGGGGATTTCAAATGAAGGTGGAAGAGCAATGGGGTCCCTGGGTCTTAGGAACTCTATCAGTCAGAGACAACGAGAGGCGACATCCTTGTGGGAGCCAGCTTATGATGGTGGGGTCCAGTTTGTTCTTGCTTGTTTGTTCCCCACTTTATATACATCTCTCCCCACCTCCACCCCCACCACCAGCCGTGAAGATAGGACAATAGTCTTATAGAGACCATTTAACCAGTTTCCACGGTGGCATACATGAGCAAAAGTTTGGATGCATCTTCAGGATAATTTAGGTAAGTAATTTATTTATTTATTTCATAAATACATAAATTTTCTTGAATTTAGCAGAGAGTACTGGAATGATGTGCAAAAATCATTCGATCATATTACTCAAAATTTCCCACATAATAATATTTCCAAAAATGATCTTTTTAATGAGGTATCATTATTAAAAAAATATATTGATAAGGTTAAAAATATATTGAAAGGTTAAATCTTGGGCATCAGCAAAAATCATAATAGAGAACAAATGGTTAGAAATATTTCATCATTTTGAAACAAACCATGATCCATACAATAATGCACTAAAAATTGTGGAATATGCGCTGTCCTTACCTACCAGGAACTAATGCGACTGAAC